GACTGGAGCCCAGAGGGTCTCAGAGCCCAGGCTCCAGCTTGAACCCAAATGTCTTCACCACAGTTAAATAGCTCTGTAGCCTGAGCCCTGCGAGCCCGAGTCAGCTGACACAGGCCAGCTGAGGGTGTTTAATTGCATTGTGGACACATACCCATAGAGGTAGTGACTGTGAATTGATGTGAGATGCAGACAGTGCCCCTCCTCCTTAGCAGGAAAAATGCTGTGTCCACATCACAACCAAAATAGTTAACCAAATGGAGGGAAAATAAGCACAGGTTGCACTAGCACCAAGGCTGAGGACAAGCCCCTTCCCCTTACTCCAGAGAGTTTAGCTAGATATCTTCTGGGGGCGGGGGGGGGGGGGGGACTGGCTGATATCTCCAGATTTTGAGTTGACCCACAGATTTTTTCTTTTTTTAACACCAGAAGGGACCGTCTAGGCTGCCCTGCTGTATAATGCTGGCCATAGAATTTCTTAACGCAAGTTATCTAGGCTTGAAGATTTAAATGTTTATCCCTAATTACTAATGGATTGGAAAGTAGTTCATCATCCTCATGTGATTTGAGACAGATGTCATCCTGCTTCTTTCCCAATACAGGACAGAAATACTTTTCAAATACTTCTGCCTTTTCTGCATTGTTATTAACAATTTTCTTCAGCCAGGAGAGTGCTTGTGGTGGCAGTGGTTTCCCTGCCCCATGTTGGTAGACTGACACTCTCCTTCACAAAAGGAAAACCCCTCCACAAAGTCATGAATGAATATTGCCTTGTATTATGCTGCACCTTACATTTCTGTCCTTTGTATACACAACGTGGGAGGGGGTGATGACCTTGTCAGATCTCACAAGCTAAGCAGGGTTAGATTTGGTCTGTAGTTGAATGGGAGAGCTCTATGGAAAACTCATTTGCTGAAGGAAATGGCGTTGGTGATTCCAGAAGAGGTCATCTTCCTTCAAGTCAGTACTGGACCAATGCCTCAGTGTATTACTGACCAATAAAAGGTCTCTTTGTACTCTTCTCAAGGGTTGTGATGTTAGCACTTGTTTCCTGACCAAGTCCCATTTTGAGTAATTGCATTCTGCCCTGCTAACATTCCCCCTACAGTTGCAGCTGGGTAGGGCTGCCTTTATTTCTTGTTCTACAGCATTGCTATGTGCTGTTAAATGGGTGCAAGCTCCACCCCAGAGATGTCTGTATTGTAGAAGTCATTTTTGTGTAAACACAGAGTCTGGTTCACACAGTTTTACACCAACTTTAACCCAGCTGTTTTCACTGGTTTACACTGGTGCGAGATGAGGGTTGAGCCCACTGTTTTCAAAGTGGTCTTTTGTGATGAAAGTGCTATAGAAATGTGATTCACTAGTTATCACTGATCATGTGTGAAGTACAAGATTCATGCAAACATTTATTTCACATTTTGGAATGTCGTGTGTTTACAACAGACCTGTCATGTAGTGTCTTGTCCTAAGTTGGTGGTGTGTCCTGGGAGATGGCCAGATGTCCTCCAGAGGTGCCCAAACCTAAGCACAGGAGCCCAAGCCCCTTCAGGAAGCTCAGAACCATCTGGCTCCATCTACACTGTGAGTACCACCAGAACTACCCTCATCCCCAATGTGGCCTACTGCTAGACCTCCATGTGTACACCAGCATGGCACCATGTAAAAACAGGGTGATCTGGGGGGTGGAGGAGAGAGACAATGCTGTCCATTCACCTCAGTATAAGGAAGGATTTGATTCTAAAGATTGGGTTGGCGAGGAGGCGAGGCATCTGCATATGCCGTCTTCTCTCTATAACTTTTGCCTTCTGTTCAGAATAAAATTGACACCCTTTTACCACTCCTGACACTGGCCCAGGGCAGCTGTTTCCATTCGCCTAGCCTGGTGGTGGCAATGCCTCTGTTTACCCAAGGAGGGGAAGGAATTGCTTAAGATGGGCAGCAGGGCAAATGTGGAAGGAAGTAAAAGGGTGAAAGTGAGCAGAGAAGAATATTGGCTGAATATCAGGAAACCTTTTCTGAGCATGAGATCTATAATGGAGTGGAAAAGTCTCACAAGGGGAGAGATGGAAGCTCAGTTGCATGAATCATTTGTGACTGGACAAAGATCTGGAGAATGTACTGTAGGGAATGCTAATGCGCTGCCAAGAAGGGTGGGATGCTGATGTGGACAAGAGGATGGACTAGGTCTTTTTTAGCTCAAACTTCACGGGTTCTTATGAGGCCAGTAGGGTTTAGTTTGATTTCTCTGTTGCCGAGGCGGATTAGGGGTTTGTGGGGCCCTGGGCCAGAGCAAGTGGGGACCTCTCTCCACCTTTTCCGCCTGCAGTCTCCCCATTGTCCTCCCCCCTGACACGGCGCTGGGTCAGGGCGTGGGCGCTTCCCCTGCCCGCCAGGTGCTCCTGCTGGGGAAATGGGGTTGGGGCACAGGGGGCTTCCCCTGCTCCCCCGCAGGAGTGCTGGGCGGGCAGAGTGGGTCGGGGCATGGGGGCGCCCATATTTCCAGGTGCCCCCCAATTGGCTAGGGCCCCTGGGCATGGGCCCCATTGGCCCAATGGCTAATCCACCATTGCTTTGTTGCTGGGAGAAAAATGCACAGGGCAAGAGACTGTCTGTGACCAGCAGCAGGAAAGGAACGGAGAGCAAGGAAGATGAGAGGAGAGCTGTGTGTGCGTGCACATGCATGTTGGGGGCTGTGTTCCGAATGAGTGGCCAGATGAAATAACTGTTAATGTTTGCCTCTTTTAAGGGGCGAGTGGGGGTAGGAACCACATGATGCTCTACTCATTTTGGCTGCCCAGTCTGTCTCAAGGCCCCTAGGCAGCCTGTTCATCCCGCTCCCAACACATTCTGCTCTTCTTTAAATCATGATCACTTTGAGCCTGAACATTTATAATTCCCAGGGAAACGAATGGGGTGATAGATGCTCAGCGCCTCCCAGGATCAAACCCAGTCACTTGCTTTTTCCCTTTGCTGTATTAAGAGACATGACAGTCTCATTCACTTTGCAGTCCCTCCCTAACAGCACCTTCCCCTCCTGCCTGCCTAAGCTCCTCCCATCCTCTTGTTGCCAGAGAAACAGCCACCTTGGCAACCTGCTGTCATCCTTGAAATACACATGGAAAAGTCCTCCTGATTGTTTTATTAGATCCTCCGGGCAGATCTGGAGCATCATTCAATCTGACATGCATCTTTAGTGACACGATTATCTGAGGGACAAGGAGATGCTCACACGTGTAGGATGTGTGTGTGTGTTTCTGCATGTACCTGTGTGTGAGCATTCAAGGCAGAGCTTAAATTCTTATAGCGTATTTCCCGGAGGCCCCCCCTAGCCCTCCCCCCATTCAGGGCTCCAGCTTCAGCTGCGGGGCAGGGAATCTCGGGGCTTTAGCCTCATGGGGGGGGGGCGCCCTAGGGCTCAGGGCTTCTGCCCTGCGGGGCACCTGTATTGGGGCTTGGGCTCCAGGCTTCAGCCACAGAGCCAGCTCGCAACCCCCCTGAGGTTTGAAAATATTTACCGGAGCTCCACTCTGGACAGCTCTGGCTGAATTTAAGCCCTGATTCAGGGGGAGTGTGTGGGTGTATGTATGTAAGTGTGATTTAGAATGTGTGTGTGAGCTAGACTCTGGGTGTATGTATGTGTGTGTGTGTGTGTGTGTGTGAGTTCCTATATTATTTCTGCATTCTAAGGAGGAAAAATAGTTCCCGGTTTAAAAAACAAATGCAAATTGTCCCCGTTATAAGTGAGTATGAAGTTCCCACCTTTTGCTGTGCTGTTGGGCATCAGGACATCAGCTCAGCCACTCTTTCCATTCCCAAATGCCCAGCGTGATTGTGATTGGAACCTGGGAGTGATGTGCACACTAGTGCCAAATTGTACCATTCAGAGCTCATCTTGCTTGCAGGTTCACCTCCTGTCCCACCGAGCAGTGAATGTCCCCCACAGAGGAGGGTCTTATTCTGCACTGTGTGAAGAATTTGGAGTAGATGGAGGCAGGTGGGAGGGGCCATGCTTTCTTAGATTTATATCCTAGGGAGAAAAAAAATCTCGTCATGTCTCCATGATTCAAAATCATGACAAGGACGGGGCTGCCCTGTGCAGTTAGGGCAGGAAGCAGTTTCCAGGACTTTTGCAGACTTTGGGGACGCAGGCTTTAGGCTCATCAGAACTCAGATTTAGGATGGATGACAATCCCTGACCACAGCAGGCAACTGCATTTTTTCACCTCTATGCACTGCATGTTTGTGATGTGACACAAGCCCTCTTTCCTCTCCCTGCTCTAGTGCCTAGAATCCCACCAAGCTGAGGTCTATTCTGTCCTTGAGGATAACATGAACAGCTTGTCGCTTGAGAAGAATCCCACTGCTACAGTAAGTCTCCTCTCAAGTAATCCTGACCCTGTCCTGCTGGGGGTTCCCTTTGAAATTGGGCCTGGCATAGAAACCACCACAGAGCTGCTGTGCCCGTACAAAGGCAGTAAATCTAACTGCTGCTTCCACTCCTCCCACCCCGAAAAGGAAAGGCTGAGTGCCTCCCGCCCCTAGGCTGGGCTTATGCATGTTGAATCTTTCTTCTCTCTGGTTAAACAGTTGGTTTGTCAAACATTATTAGTTCGGGGAGGCCTGGTTGATATAGGTGCTGCGATGTGAGATTTGCTCTGAGGCATGGTGGCAGATTTGAGATAATTTCTGGCAGTGGAAACCTCCATGTGTGCAGACCAGACTAGGCCTTCATGGAATATGGGCTGGTCCTGGCCTCCAATATGGCCCTTTTGGACTGCTCAGGCAGTGCAAAGATCAGGCAGCTGAAGAGTCGGCCAGCATGGAGAAGTCCTTGAATATGGGCATGGCTCTGAGACTGCTCTAACTTCTGCCAGGGTTGATGCAACCCCTGACAGCTGTGGGGATCAGGGAAAGGGAATGTACAGCCATGTTAGCCTCCTCTGCATTCTGGTCCTACACTGAGTGCAGGTCGGCCAGCCCTGGAAACTGGGCTCGGGGTGTTCTGAACCCTATATATCATTTGTGTTTTCCCCTTACTGTCAAGATGAAAACCATATTGAGTGAAGTGCTTCTTGAGCAACTGCTCAAGGGATTGACAAGAGTCAGCTGCTTAACAGAAGTGATGGGCTAATAAAAGTAGAGCAGAATTGTGCCCTATATGGTAGGGGACATTTTGGAGCACTCTCAAAATGAGAGTGTGCCTCTCTTAGGTGGACTCCTGTGCAGGTTTCCCTGTACTGTGTGGGTTTGGTTGGTTTTGTTGTTTTGGGGTGGGGTTTTTTTTACGAACACTTTGGATTCAATGACTTTTCCCAGTTGTTGCTGTTTTTTATTGTGAGCGGGGTGGAACCCCTGCCTAGCAGTTAGAGTCTCTGGTGGCAGCCTTGCCTACTGGTTAGGGGTAGGGGAACCCAGGCCCTCCCACTTCACCAGGTTCTGACCTAGGACACTCTTGGGCACCACAGGGAAGGCAGTCACTTTGTGTGGTCCAATTAACACCCTTCCCTGGGTTTCTTCCTACCACTCAGTCCCTCCTTGGGGTGTGTCATAGCTTGCAGTTATCTCTGTAACTTGGTCTGTGGGCCTTTGCAAGCTAAGGAGTCACAGCTTCATGCAACCACTGTCCTCCTGAGATACCTTCCTGGCACAGTCCCTCCATCACAGTGGCTGCAGCCCCACCTCTCTCTCCACCCACCAGCCTGTTGTGCTGAAGAGACTCTCTCTTAAGGCCCTCCTCCAACCGGAGCATGCCCAGCAGGCCTGCTGGGGCAGGGCTTCCTGGGCCCAGAGTTATTCCTGCACCCCTATCTCTCTCCAACGTGAGGTTTGTCCACCCCATCACAATTACCTTTTGCACTCAATTTGGAGAGTAAAACAAGGTTTGGTGAGTTTTGCCTCATTTCCAGCTGGTTTCACTTTCTGCTTATTGGATCCTGGACACATAATATGCACAAGAAGTAAATAATGTCTCACATTACCTACAATAGTAGAACAACAAGGACAAGGACAGAAAGGAACAACAAAAATAAATCATGTTAGCACAGCGAAAGGGCTCTTGTTTACAAACTACCTCCAGCCTGATCCATTTCTAACTTCAGAATCCAGTTAACGCCAATTGTTTCCCACTGCCAAACTCTTTGGAACTCTGTGTCCAGAATCTGCTGGGCATTTCAGGTGCTGTAACCACACACACCTTCGCCACAATTCTTAAACTTGGCACTGGTCTGTTTGGGTTGCAAAGATAGGAGGGAAAGTTTTTGGTTATAAAAAACAACCACTACCCCCCCCCCCCGATTCCTTAGTTTTATTAAAATTATTATTGTAACAGAAGCATTTCTATTCATATTCTCTTGTCTTACTAAACCTTTTAGGCCTGAACCTTCTTGGCAAGTTGAAAAGTGTAGTGTGGACAGTGCCTAGCGGCTGAATCCACCGCTAGCATAAGCGGATGCAACTCTGAGTGTGGCCCTCCAACTGCATATTGACTTTGGGACATGGCATAATAGGAGTTGCTATATTGGATCAGACCAATAGTCCATCTAGTCCAGTATCTTGTCTCCAACGAGCAGCAGCAGCAGCTTTGGAGGAAGAAACCCTGCAGTAGGCAGTCATGGGAAAGTTTCCTCCTCTCCCCAAATAGAAGTTGGCATATGTCCCAAAGCTTGAGTGGTCATATCCCTTCCAAAACTCTTGTTTACTTTACAAATATATTTACTATTATAACACTGAATAGTCCAGTTATCCATAGAAATGTCTGGTGCTTTTTGGAATCATGCCAAGCTCTTAGCCTCAGTGATATCTTGTGGCAATGAGCTCCACAGACCAATTGTGCACTGTGTGAAAAAGTATCTCCTTCTATCACTTTTACATTTTTACTACCTTTCAATTTCATTGGAGGTCCTTTGTTCTTGTGTTCTGAGACCAGAAACACAGGAGATTCCAACTTACCTTTTATCCCATTCATTCTTTGTTAGACTTTAATCATGGCCATTCTTCTTTGGGCAATCTGAGCAATTCAGCCAGGGAGCTGAGACGGTGTGTACACATCATGTTGCTCTTCACTAAATATGGAACACTCAGTGTGTTATCAGAACCCTGGTACTGCCACATGCCAGACAGTTAATTTGGAGGTTAGAGTGTTCGGAGAGTGGATGCTAGGGCAAAGTGACCTGTTACTGAGTGATGTGGGTATGTCTTTTGTAGCTTCAAGACATGAACATCTCGCAGCCAGACAGGGTTGAAGATAGAAATGAAGACTGTGGGAAAACAGGGAAGAAGAAAAAGAAGAAGAAAGAAAAGGTAAGAGCTTTCTACAACGCTGCCGTCAAAAGCAGCCTCATACCTTGTGTTCAGCTGATCACATCATTCAGAAAGAAAAGAACTAAGCATTGTAGTGATGTTTTAAATCTCACCCTCACTTACCATGTGTCCTGTGTCCAGACTCAGCTCTGCGAGGGGACAAGGATGGAGGGGAGGTTCTCTAGCAGGTGCAATGTTAGGAATGGAATGGGAAGGTTTGCATTAGGCAGCTCCCAGCTGCTTCCATGCCAGCCTCTGTCTGCAATGAACACAGAGTGATTGAAAACAGGAAAGTCATGATAAACATGGTGGGCCAGATTAATCTGTGGTGTAATTCCATCAAAGTCAGTGAGGATAAATTTGGCCCCAAATGTCCATGGCCTTCCCTGTGCTAGAGAATTTTGATGTGCTGCCTGCCACTGCAGTCCGTAGCTCACCTGTAACACATCACATGCCCACACATAAAAATACAATCAATACTCCACAAGTATTTGCGCTACTATTAGGACAGGACTTGCTTTGAGCAAGGCTGGCGACTGTTGCTGCATTGACACTGGGGATTCTTAGATTCACCCACCATGGCGCTAGCACCGGTGCCGTTTCCCCAATGCTAGTAATAGTGGGAGGGCTAGTAGAGAGTAGGTGCCAGTGATTTTTGCCACTCTTTCCGGTAATTCTGCTCACGGTAGTCTTAGGCAACATGATGATAAAATGCCAGTGATTGATTTAGACCAGCGCTCTAACTGTTGCTACCACCAGCACAGTGGCTGTGTTTGCAAGGAATGCCATATGTGGATGCAGAGCATGAATGCACCCATAACTGGAAGGCTGGTGTGGGTGCACTGCACCACTGCAATATCCACCAGTTCAGCTAGTAATGAATAGGTCAGTTCTCTGGTGTACATGCGCCCTTTGGAGAGTCCACAGTTGGCTTTTTTTGTAAAATGTTTCCCATTGATGCCCCGGAGGAATTGCTAGTGTAGACAGGGCTTCATGCAGCCACTGGCATTTCAACTACTCAGTTGTCTAACCTTGCTCACAGCAACAGCAGGAGTATGTGACCCAGTGCTTAAAATGTCCGTGTCTGTCAGTGCCTTGTCTCTGCAAGATACAGTGGTGTAGAAAAGATTCAGCTATTGAAGAAACAGAATTGGGAAGGTCAGGGAATTCCTCTTTCACAGAATCCAGACTGATTTATTTTTTACTTTTGGAATAACCAAGAGCAGTCCCCTTTCCCAGGTGGATTGGTTTTTTTGGAACAGTGGAAAATAGGAAGCACCTTTGTGCCTGGAGCAGGGTTATTAATATTCATCTCCGGGGGAGCAGCATTCCACTGGCTGAGTTAATTCCATTCTGTGGATCACTAGTGGCCATTGCTAGTGGAAAGAGTTGCAGAGGATACTTCTTAAGAATCAATCTGGCTGTTTGAATAATTTTTCTCCATTTCTTTTTTTCTTTTTAACATTTTGTAGAAATCTCAGCAAGAAACTCTGGAAGAACCCTTTGATACCCTGTATGAGAATATCTAAGGGGAAAGACTGATCGTACTTGGACTATACATCTCTGAGTATGAGGGAACTGCCCCTCACATCTTTAGTATCCATCTGAATTCTCCAGAGACTCATGACACACTTATGGCAGAGTCCCACCCTAGTCTCTTTCTAATCTGTTCTTTATGGACCTCAGAATTCCTCTGTTCTGATCTCAGGGTGGCCCAGGCTGCATGGGTGCTCCTGCAGAGGATATTGCTTTCAATTATTTATAAGTCTGACTTTTAGCAATCGTTTTAGTCAGGATCTGTGCAAGTTTCCCTCACCCAGCTATGGCGATGCATTTGAGTCTTGATCTATAGCACTTGTTGTACAATACAGGGACCCCACTACTTTTTTTGACAGTGCACCTCAATCCTGATTTGCAGCCCATGCTATCCCACTCCTAGCTCTCTCCTGTCATGCCAATATGAACTTGATATATGTCTAATGAGGACCTGATTGGGAGCCACGGACCCCTGTCGCCGCGTTCCCTTTCTCAACAACTTCAAGCTGCAACATGCTGATGCGTAAAGCAAACTGACCTGCTAGCCCTGTACTGTAACTGCAGATGTACAGTACAGCCCTGTGCTGCTCCAAAACAGTCTGTCGGATTCAGCTCTGCAGGGTGAATATTTTCCTTTGAATGCAACCAGCGGAATAGGGTGGGGAGAGGTAGCAAGAAAAGAGATGCAGAAAATGAAGCAGGAGTCTTCCCTGCCTGTGGACATGTCTCATTGGTGATGTTCCTCCCATGATAAACTATTTGGAGACAGGGCTTGCGAGAGCAGCTGCTCTGCTGGAGTCTATCCTGTTTATAACCCTGTCCCAGGCTGATGTCCCTTCCAGGAAGGGTGTTTAGAGGGAGAGTTAACATTCTTCTTTTTAATAGCAACAAAGAGTCCTGTGGCACCTTATAGACTAACAAATGTATTGGAGCATAAGCTTTCGTGGGTGAATGCCCACTTCGTCAGACGCACGTTTTTAATAGGTATTGTTATATAGTGTGATTGGTTTTTTAAGCTCTGGTGTGGGCAGATGTAATATCTTGGGGAGAAATTTTCATCCCATTGAAGTCAGTAGGAGTTTTGCCATTTATTTCAGTGGGGCCAGGATGTCACTCCTGGTGTTTAGGGTGGTATTTTAAAAAATGCAGCTAAACCAGTTTATCAGACTCACAATATATGGAGTTGAGGCCCTGTGTGTGCATTTTCCATCCAAGCTCTTATCCTTGCCATCACATGGATCTAGCTCAGGGGTGGCCACCCTGAGCCTGAGAAGAAGCCAGAATTTACCAATGTACATTGCCGAAGAGCCACAGTAATATGTCAGCAGGCCCCCATCAACTTCCCCCACTCCAGCCTCTAGCGCCTCTCCCTCCGCCCCATGCCTCCCGCCTGCTGTGATCAGCTGTTTTGCATGTGCAGGAGGCTCTGGGAGGTAGGGGGGAGGAGGGGGGCACAGCACGTTCGGGGGAAGGGGCGGGGATGTTGCGGGAAGGGGTGGAGTGGGGACAGGGCCTGGGGCAGAGCAGGGGGTTGAGCAGTGAGCACCCCCTGGCACATTGGAAAGTTGGTGTCTGCAGCTCAAGCCCTGGAGTCAGCGCCTATGGGAGCCACATATTAACCTCTGAAGAGCCACATGTGACTCCGGAGCCACAGGTTGGCCACCCCTGATCTAGCCTATCAGCTGAACTTACACTCATTGTAATTCTGATGGGAAAGGAGTGACATTAACTATATTGTATAACTTGATCAAAACAATGGATCAAAGAGCTGAAGATGTTGTACCTCAGCTTTTCTAAAAACAAAACAAGAATCTGTAGAATAAGCTGAAAGGAATCATACAAATCTCTTTAAAGAAGAAAATCAAATTAAAACTGATCTGAAGGTCATAGGATCCTCTCCAGTTGTAGGTAATGTTGCTATACTTCAAAGATGGGAGGCTATGGAAAATGTTTCCAGGGCTTCCAGGCTCCCTATACTATGTTTTAAGAGATAATCTTCTTATTGCTTTGCTCATTTATTAGAAGAAATTTAAAATGTGGAATCTGTACTTTCCTTAATGATAACTACTTTTCTCTTACCGATGTCTAGAAATTCATTGACGCAAGGACCCAGTAAAATTGTTTTTCCATTTGTAAATGCTTGTGATCATTCTGAGACAGAATTTTAAAACAAATGTTTTTGGGGTCACCGGGTTTTAATGTTTCCTGAGTTGACATGGGAAACACGAGTTAGAAAAAAAAGATTCAGACTTAAAGAATTTGCAAAATTGGTGCAATTACAGTAAAAAAAAATTCCTTGCCAAGTTTCGAGTAATGTTGGTGATAAATGATATATTTTAATTGATTACAATGTGTCAAGAAAATCTTTAGAACAAGCTGATAGATTAGATGGAGTTAACATTTACCAAAATAAAAAACATTTGTAATTTTGTTTTAAATATGGCATTTTATAAGCGCTAAATGCTTTATGTACAACTGGAAATTTCTTGAAAAGACTCTCTAATGCAGTGTTGATAACTGCCTTCTGGTCAGTCTCTTGTTCGTCATTTTCTTTTATGCTTTTTTCCCTCTAATTCACTATTTACATCTGACCAACTATATATATTATAAACTTGGGGTTATCAAAAATTATAAAGTAATTGAAAGAAAGGGCTGTAGGATAGTGTAATTCCCTCATTCTGTACTATGGTGGGAAGATGGTAGGCAACAGGTTGGAGGCACAATGACAGATTCTGGCTAATTAAGAAAGACAGTCTGAATTCCAGAGAAAAGATGGAAGGTCTGTGCAGTTTAAGCCTGATCCAAAACCCACTGAAGTCAATCGGAGTCCTTCCTTTGATTTCATTGCGTTGTGGATTGTCCCATTGAGAGTAGAAGATTGTGCAAAAAAGGAGAGATCATTATGAAGATGTGTAGCTGCAAGCCAGAAATACCCCTTTAGCATCACCAGCTACCGAGAGAATGAGACACCCCATGGAATCAGAGTGTGTCAGAGGGAAGGATGGATAAGGAGGAGAGCGTGCGGGGTAAGTAGTGTTTAAGACACAGATGTTTTCCAGGGAGACCTGTAAAGAAAGGCCTCCCACCAAGGGAAAGAAAGGTTATTAAAGAGCATTTAGATAGCATTGGTGTGATGAATGTGGTGCAGAGAAAATCAGTAATTATTTGGCTTTGTATTTGTACCTAACTGTCTGGCCCAGGCGGTGTGTGCAGGGGACTAATATTATTTGCCTGTATTCCACAGGAGGAAATAAGTTAGTTTTTAGTAACTGTCAGACAGCTTAAACAAATGAAATAAAGAAACAGAGCCGTCAGCCTCCCGGAATCTGGTTTTATTGGCTTGTTGTGCTTCTTCCACACACATTTTTGCTCTAAATTAAATGATTGTTTTCCCTTCTGAAACATGTCTCTAGGCCAGGGACTGTTGGTGATAGCTGTGATCTTTTCCGTAGCCATAACACTAATACACATCTGCATTTAGCTTATGACAAGCATGTGTACTTTGGGTCCCCGGTACTAGGAACACTTGAGGGTAAGGCTCTGTTTGCAGCTAGGGAATTGCAGAGAGAGGGTGGGGAAATCTCATGTCAAACTGAGTATTGGATTCAGTAGGACTGCACTCCCCGCCTTCTTCATTAAAGAAGAATGACTGCCCTGTATGAGCTCTAGTCATATTGGAGGTAATATTCCCCTTCCCCCACCCTCATGAGTGAGCCATCAGCAAATGGTCACCTTATGTCCTGAAGCATGTACTTTGATTGCCTTTATATCATTGTCTTAGCCTGCATAGCTACACATATTGTTAATGGTGCTAAAATTATCTAGCCCCTGTTTAAAAATCCTGTCACAACCCCTTTCAGTGACCTTCTTCAACAAATTCCAGTTTGACAATGCAGAGATTGGATATATTTTTGGTATTACTTTTTTCTTTTTCTGCAGCGTACAAATCTTTTTACTGTACCATCTTTTAACAAGCTCTACAGTAATACATTTTTATTTTGCCCTTTATCTGTAATCAAGAAACACAAAAGTCATAACAAATAACTATGATAAAATGGATGGTCTAAGGCAGGGGTCAGCAACGTTTGGCACGCGGCTCGCCAGGGTAAGCACCCTAGCGGGCCGGGCCAGTTTATTTACCTGCTGACGCGGCAGGTTCGGCCGATTGCGGCCCCCACTCGCCGCGGTTCGCCGTCCCAGGCCAATGGGGGTGGCAGGAAGCAGCGCGGGCTGAGGGATGTGCTGGCCGCGGCTTCCCGCCGCCCCCATTGGCCCGGGACGGCGAACCGCGGCCAGTG